TTGTCCCCGTGTTCGAATTTCTCGGACGCGGCATGTCTAAACTATACGTGTCACTTACAGTCACACTATCTATATCGATATCATCAAAGAAGTCAATATCCATATCGCTAATCGGTTCTGGCACAAAGTAATCCTCATCACTTGCCATTCCCGGGCGGTAGTTATCATACTCCGATATATAGGCATCCGAACTGGAGTCATAGTTAATTGCAGGATCACTTCGCGACATTTCGCTACTGTTTAAGGATGATAAACTCAAATTAATGGCATTGTCACCAAAGATGGCGCGTACCTGAGACGGAGAGGGTAATTTGTGGTGGAGTTTGGGACTCAATCCAGGACTCGACGGAGCTGAGCTTTCGTGATCACTTGGGATGTAGTCAAGACTTCGACAGTGACGGGGTGGTAGCCCGACACGACCTCGTCGCTTGACTTGAAAAGATGGCGGTGCATGAAGAGGAGGGGGCGCTGCTGTAGCTCCTGATGAGGACGATGATGATGCAGCAGCTACACCTGCTGGGAAAAATGGTTTGGGACGTTCAGGACTACCAACCCTATTTTTGTGAGCTTCTCTCCCTGACGCACCCTTTTGAGCTCTACACTTTTTATCTCGTGGGGCATTTTCCGTGGCCAGTGCCCCACCGACAGCACCTTGAGGAAAGTTGGATCCTGTTGCAGCAGCACCATGGGGTAATCCCTGATATATTGGCTCCAGTGGCGCACCTGGGCGAGGTGGACGCACTGGCGGCAAGTTTGCATAGTCATGGCTACTGCTCTCTCCATCACTATCACTTTTATCGGCATCAGATGAATGATGTGTTAGGTGTGATACTGTGTTGGGCGTGACAAAGGGTTGTACATCACTGTCACTTTTTTCTCCATCTGATGGATAATCATAGAGTAAGTCCTTTGGTGGTGATGGGAGAGTAGGAGGAGATGAAGATGAACTGGACTGAAGTGGGTCCGTTGGGGATGCTCTCAACTTTGGCTCCCTCTTTTGAGATGAAGAACCTTGAATGAGTGGTGCACCTCCTCTCTGTGCACCATTGGAAGGGAAAATAACCGGGGTTTTGCTTGTTGCATTTGTTCCTTCTGTTGAAGAAACCACTGGCACTAACTTCCCTGCTGCTGTTTCAGGGCAGGATCTCTGCTTCTGCAGCTGAGGCTTGGTAGGCTTTGGTCTATGTGGTTGTAATGTGCGTGGCAAGGGTATCCCAGGGCTATCTCGCTCGGCTGGGTACTGCCATACTTGGGGCAACTCCACAACGTCTAAACTCTCTTGGGATGTCCTCTGCCCATTGTTCATCATGCTTAATCTCCCAGCCCCTGGGGTATCAATGTGGGGGCTTGCCCTGCTGTAAGGTGTTGCACGACTGGCACGTCCACTGCCTCCATCTGCTCCTCTGGGACTATCCCTATATGGGGCACTACTCCTGCTTCCTCTTCCTCCCTCATTACGACTTCCTCTCCCACCATCATTTCGACTTCCTCTTCCACCCCAGTCACCCCTGGGGCTGTCTCTGCATGGCCCCCCGTTCCTGCTTCCCCTGCCCCCCTCAAACCTGGGACTGTCCATCTGTTGCCCTCCTCGGCCCTCTTGGGGGATGGGCTGAAACAACTTAGGACTTGGCGAAGATGCCTGCAGTGACATGTTTCGTCCATCTATGAATGCCAGTATAGGTGTGGTTGGGGAATTACTTTGACTGCTGTGACGTTCATGCTGCTTAACAGCCTCTAAGGAAAGTTGTGGATAGCTGCGATCACGAGTTGGGATTTTTTCGGAAGGATGATGGGTGTTAATGATCCCAGAGCTGCTCAGTCTTTCAGAGGAGGATGCCTTTAAGGGGACAGCATGAAGTCTAGTGACGCTTTCAGCCATGACAGGTGCTTCCTGTGCTTCAGTGTCCGACTCTCCCGAGGAGACATCCACAGTGTTGAGCAAGGAGGTCTCTTCAGGGTTGGTCTCCACTTTGTCAGTGGGGACCTCTTCCTGTGGGGCTAACTCATAATCATTCCTCCCACTACGGCCTAAAATGAAGGACTGTGTTAGAGGAGTGAATTGTTCCTTCTGTGGCATATTATTGCCTTTCACATTCCTGAAGTGGTAGGCAGGCAGTTCAGGAGAGGTTGTTCGCGAGGTGTCAGGTTTTGGTGCAGGCAAAGAGGAGCCACTTGACTTCCGAAACTTGTTGATGTTTTCCTTGGAATCTGATCCAACGCCTGCCTGCAGCCGCCTCTTGCTCAAACTTCCCGTGGAGGGAGGGGATGAAGGTGGATTACCAGATACTAATTCCACAGGTGGGGATGTTGCTGGTGTAGCACCATGATTGGGCAACTTTGCTGATACTGATGGAGATTCTTTAATTACCTCAGAAAGGAGAGGAGTGCTTGACTGATAATTGGCCACTTCATGAAAGCTACTGGGCCGAGAATGACTTTGCAAAGCATGAGCTTTGGATCTCAACAAACTCTGCAAACTTTGCTTTGATTCAACTGAAGGTGGTCTATCTTGCTTCTTCCCATCCCGATTACGAAAGCGACTGAGCAGTGGATTTCCTGTAGGTGTCACCGGTGGAGTGGGCAGTCCTACAGGCATGACTGGTGTGCTGCCCCCTGGTGGGGAGGTGTTCAATATGCCGTCATCTTTACGACCAAGAAGAAAGTAGGTCGTCATGATCCCCTTGCCTTTTACATTAATGGCACCACGGGTTTTGAAGTCATAATGGTTTTTCAGAGCTTGGAAAATATCCTCAGTAACCTGAATTAATAAAAATATTTTTTCTACAATTCCAAGGATGTAAACATCAATGTTAAAAATATCATATTGTATGAACTGTACTTGATTTCTCAATAATTAATAAGACTACATGGGTCCAATTATTAAATTTTAATACAATATCATTGGTGAGGATTGCCAAGAAAAATCCAGATTCATGTAAAAGCCACACGCTGATGCAAAACATAGGCTGTACATCAACTCGACATCAGTTTAAGGCAATCCTTTGATTGATATAGTAGAAAGTTCACCAAAGCTGAAGTTATTTTATTGCCTAGTTTTACAAAAAATAAAAGCATTCATTGCCAACCCACTTGTATGTGGTCCATTTCCCCAGTACTTTCCATTCTACTGGCAACATTGACTGTATTTCCCCAGATATCAAACTGGGGTTTCTTGGCACCTATAACCCCAGCTACTACAGGACCAACATTCACACCTGAAAGTTAAAGTGGTAATGTCAGTACTGTTTATATATACATATATATTATGTAAATGTTATAATATATATGTATAATATATATATATATATATATATATATATATATATATATATACTTAAATAAATGTGTTGTTATTGTAACTTCAGTTCAAACTTACAGGGGTGAGACTGTCATTTAGTGAAAAAGTCAGAAAATACGGCGTGGGGTCCAGGGGGCCGCCTAGACTAATGATACTTTTGGCTCCCAAACAGTCAGAATCAGCCAGGATCTCATCCCTAAACTTACCAACTTTTAGCATAAAATTATTGTAGGAGTTTTCATTGATCACTTTAAGCTTATGCTTCAGATCAAAGATGAACTCGACCAAGATGGTCAGGTTGGCTGTCACTGACTCTTCTGTGTCCTGAAAAATATATAGACAAATGTCTGAAAAAATTTTATCATTTACATCCATGTAATGTATCCAGTGTGTGTGTGTGTGTGTGTGTGTGTACGTGTGTTTGTGTGTGGAGGGGGATTAAGGCGCCTAGCTGCCATCCCCTACATGCACCCCCTTTTCAAAATTAAAAATGTCAGACGTCACCCCATACATGTACATCCCCATCAGGTGAGAAACCCAATCCAAATTGTAACATTTTTTCAAACATTTTGTCATGTTAAAAACAGCCCAAATTTCTATTATTTCAAGAAAATCCCCTCCTCCCACCTTGTTGAAACTCCATCATTATGAACATATGACCTAATAAATATGTATGAGAGAGAATGTGTCTTGGTTTAAATATCTGTCTTCCAAAGCAGAGACTAGCTATTGTAAGCAACACTGTACCTGAATGATAGAATCTGGCATAAGACCCACTGCTGCCATGTAGGTGGAGCCAATAGTCTTGATCTTGTCCACAGCATAGAACTGAGGGTTGTGAAGGCACTGGAAGATATATAGATATGTTTTTTTTTATTTTATTTCTTATATCACAATAAATTAATAAATCTTGAGGGATTTGATGAAGGTGCTGGAATGTAGACATAATAGATGCATGTACATGTAGATTTTTATCAAATTCCAAATACGAGAATATGAATAAGGGCTTTGAAGGTTTCATGTACTTTAATACCACAAAAATTCCAACATAAAGCTCGTTGTGGTAACACAATACTATTAAAGCCATAACTTTCTTAAAAAGTTATCATTATTATATTCTAAAACCTGATAAAGTCACCATAAACAATCTGATCCAAGGCAGCTCACCTCATCAAAATCAAATATAATCTCATTCAGGACACGTAGACACTCTATTCCCTGGTTATTTGCATCCAGTTCCATGTAAAACCCAGCAAAGTTTGGAATAGAGGCAAACATCACCCCCACTTTGGCATACTGTTGACTGTATAGCTCCTAAAACACAGAATTATATTAACATTGTACTGTAATTGTTATTAATTTTTTCTGTGGAAACTGAATAAACTTAGATATTTATCTGAAGGTAATAAAATAGGAGGCAACTGGCTGCTGCCTGAATTATTACCTGAGAAAAAAAAAAAAAAAAAAAAAAAAAAAAAAAAAAAAAAAAAAAAAAAAAAACCAAGTGACATGTTAAGCATTATGAATGAATAGATCGTAACTTTACACGACAACTTATGTGACTGTCTGAAATATCTTAGCAGTTTGTGCATTTTTGTGACAGGTTCACTCTGTATTTCAATGCTGGACAAACATTTCAACTAAATTTGTTAAAAGAAAAAAATGCTTAAATTTTGCTCCTTTTTCATCTTATTTTTCGTACCATATTACTGGTGTATTTCTTGTCCAGGAAGTGTGCTGCCACATGAGCCGGGAGCAGATTACACAGGATTCTACGGTTGTTATTCTGCAGCTCCGTCATTTCTATCTTTTCCTCAGTTGCCTGGAAATTGAATTGAAGACATAATATTTCAGAAGAAAAACAGTGTTTAACATTCCAGAATGGTGCACACAAATGTATTTAATTAATTTTAAAATTTCAACTGGTAGTCTGAATTCATTGTGCAATATCTGGGCTTTTTATGTCAACTGTGTGTTTTTTCATTACATTTCCCTCAATTTTCATATATCCACTGTTGGTTAAAAAAACAATAAAACGAAATATAATAAGGCACCAAATATTTCACTTTTTCTATAAACTAAAAGAAACTGCTAATATTTAAACAAATCTTCATGCAGTTTATCTTTGCTGGCTACTGAAGATTTATCATTAATTGAAGCATTTTAGACCAAATTTCATTTTCAATCTCTGCGGTAAACCATCTTCTGCTATATGCGAGACAAGCAGGTGGTTGTTTACCTGGGTTTTCCACAGGTAGTCCATCCTGTGTGTCCACTCATCTTGACGTCCATGTACAAACAGGGCTAGAGCAAAGTGAATGAGGACAATGACCCCAACTACATTGGTGGGAATATATTGCCTGGAATAGAAAAACAGGGGATAAAATTTTGTGATCTACATTTCATTTTTCATTTGATGATTGGTGCTATGTGTCCATAAAGTTAACAGCAATGGTGAACACTTAGCATTTTTTTCTTGTTTGTAAACAAATTTTATATATCATGTACACATTTTAGGTTGCTAGCAGTATGTTATCTGCATAAAGACCTGTTAACAAGTTTAGTGAAATTAAATTAAATTTGCTTTAAAAGGCCAAAGTAACATAATATGTACTGCACTGTACATTCCTAAATTGTAATTATTTGAGTAAGGGCCACTTCTTACATTTTTGCTAATCAAGCACTGCAACTTCATGTAACATATATTTTGATTATTACACTTTTATTTTTACATTCCTTTTATGTTGTTATCCAAGAGTTGTAAGGCAAATTTTTTGTGTGGTTTGTGGTTAATAAGCAACTACAAACCTGTATAAAGATGACGTACATTGTATAATAAGAATATAATATGTGATATCTCACCCTGTGTCATCGTCATACTGATGAAATATCGATACGTGTGTAAAATGCATCACAATACTAAATGTGGCCACCATTATAAGCAGCATGGCGAACTTCACCAGGGCGGAGAGGTTCAGAAATAATGCCACCGTCAGGAAACACATCATGGCCGCCAGGTAGAAATATGGTGGCAACTCACAGTGGAGATGGTCGTCTGCCGCACTGATGATGGAGCGCTGGAGCTCCCCTGTGTGAATACCTCCTTCACAGAAAAACTGGAAGACAATTTCAGTAAATCAAATATGTATTCTATCAATGTCACACTTGACCAGTGCATGCTGCACATACATATATGTGTTTACAAATTATTTAACTAGTTCATGTGCATTACACATCATGACAGTGATCGAATGAAGACAACTACAATTGTTACTTTTAAAATGTACCTCACTTCAGCAGACATAGTTTTTATGCTGTACTTACTATATTGACTTGAGCAGCTGCGTAAATGAGTATAATACTGACTATAATAACTGCAAGGCGAGCACGTGGCTTTTGACGGAGATCAAATGGAATACACTGGAATATACATGTACATAGAATATAAAGAATTTTGCACATTATCCATGAGTATTCTGACATGAGAACCATGTTGATGAAATTGCAAATTTTACAAATTGATCTGCTGATTGTCTATGTAATATGAAGGCTCCCAGATGTTGCAAAAGTATGCAGGAAGTTTATTTATTCATTTCAATTTTTTATATCTGATTCTCACCTTAAGTTTGGCACCCAGGATGAGTATGAGCAGTATGGACAGCCACATGAATGTTAACAGAAACAACAGCAGCAGCATTAGGGTTCTGAAATAAATAAATAAATAAATAAATAAATAAATAAATAAATGGATGAATGAATAAATGAGTGAATATAAATGAGTGGATGAACATGTATAAAAAGTATTAGTCAAATCTTTATAGTATTACAATATATACATATTAGTCACCTTGTCACAAACTTCTAGAGAATTTGGACTAAAATATTTTAAGGACTATATAAATTAATTTTTGAAGTTTACATTTACAATAGCATGTGGTTGTTCGAAGACAAGAAGACAGAGGTACTTGTTATATTTAAGCCAAGATGGCCTTACACTGAAGTACAACAATAACAAGTCCAAGTCACCAAAAAGCCATCTTTTATTTTGCCACTCTCCAACATTCTCTCGTGATCTCAACTACCACAATTGAGACTGGTGTCACAATTGTGCCACAATTTCACCACAACCGCAATCCACTATGTACAGCACTCACCTTGGCAGAAGGATAAGTTGTACAGCAGATACACACACCAACACTATCAGAGCACAGAGGAGACTGGTGCCAAAGGAGACATCCTTCATCAGCTGATACTGTTGTTCAAGAAATTAAAAAAATTAAATCATTAATTAATATAAAAGAGCAATATTTTGAGAACCATTAGACAAAAATCTACTGGTAGTATCTATTGATGCCATGCAGTGAAATGCAAATAAACATGGTGCACATATCTTGCTAGCCATATTATCTTTAAAAAAATCATCTACAAGAGCTGTTTACAAAGAGCTGATCACCACTAATTAATCAACTTATTTTTGTCTGGCTTGGCACAGCAATATATTTTCCTTAGATCGCATTCACAACGAGTTGAGCCAGGCTTTACAAATTCTGGAACTAAATATGGCGGACGTACATGAAAGAAAAACCTCCTAATCTTTTAATAGTCTCTCCGCCTCTCTCAGGCCTCCCCATGTGTCATCCCAATGGAGCTGAAATTTAATGACTGTACCCCCGCAGGGACGACGCATGGGGAGGCGTGTGAGAGGCAGAGAGACTATTAAAAGATTAGGCGGTNAACTGCCCTCCACTTATCGTGTTTACAAGGAAAGTGCACGGCGCCTGCATCGGCATCGGCATCGCCATCGCCATCGCCATCGGCGACGACAGACGCAGGTGATGGCAATATGTACAGACACATCTGTGTCTGTACATAAAAATATGCAAAAATTTCTGATCCATCAGTCAAAAGATTTATCTCAGTGCCAATATTTCCCTGGAAGTCTAAAAATTGTATAAGTGACTATGGAATTTCTGAATTACAAAGTTTAGGTGACTACAAGGGATAACAGGTGCTGTATATCTTGAAATAATCTTAATTTCATGTTTTCCTAACTGAATACTCCCCTCCCCTGCCTACAGCCTAAAGTAATATTCTCTCAGATAAAACCGTTTTCCATATTTCATATCACAGCTCCTTTTATTTATATTTCTATTTATATAATGTTAGCAAGATTCCATTAATTTATTTAAGTTTTTCCTCTGTAGCCAATATCCTCTATTATGTTAAATGGCGCATCCTCTCTCAGACCCTATGACACCACCTCCTGTTCACCTGTTCAATTAAATAGACAATTAAATATATTAGTTAACTCAAATTCATAGGGAATTTGCATTTCAGTGACGTACCTTGTGACATTTAAGCCCATTAAAATAATCTCAAATCTAATAATAGAAAGACTCCAGTACTTGGAAAAGCTGGTTATCCACAGCTGAAGCACAATAAACTGGAAATTTCATTAAATCTGGACTTCACCTGGTGCAGGAGTTTATTGAAGTGTCTACAGGAATTCGCCCTGATTCACAGCAATTCCAGAATTTAATAGACCAAAAATAATTGGTTAATACAGATCCATTAGCCATTCACCTGGGCTGATGTTGAAAAGAAAAGGAATCCAGCTTTTATGTCTTCGTAACACTTGGGAACACTAGCTTGCATTAAGATAAATCAATACATTTTGTTAAAAACTGAAAAATGATCAACTCTCCACAAAACCGGCACTGATGTCATTTGAACATGTCCCAAATTTCAGAAATTACTGGAAACTGAAGTCAATTATCAGCTTGTCTCAGTTGTTACTGGGATCAGGCCTGTAGCTTGGAGGGAGGGGGTCTTTTTGCCAGGAAACAGTAAAAAGTCCCCTCTGGGCAAATGTTTTTATCTATGTACATGCAGGTTTCACTATAACAGACCCACTTTTTCAGGAAAATATCCCACCCCCTTTGAAATCCCTGGCTATGCTTGTGAAAATCAGGGTAAACATGTGGAGAGAGTCTTTCTATCTAATAAGAATTCCAGCTGATTTTGAATGAGTCAGAAACCTAATATAACACCAATTACTGATAGATGGACTGCATCCATAAAGAAATGTATCCTCTGCACTCACTGAGGTAAACACGTTTTGCACTGACTATGGTAATTTCTCAAAAATTTCGAACGTTTCGAACTTAATTGTTACAATTATCATACCTTTTTCTCCAAGATTCAAAATTTTTATTTGCCAAAAAAATGAAATGTCTGTAAGAACTTCAATAACTTTGTTTTTATTATTCTTTTTACCATCAATTCAAAACAATGTATATTAATTTTTTTAAAAACTTATCAAGCAATTACCATATATCTCACTTTATCTTATAAAAGAAAAATTACACATTTATTCAGCAGATCAATAGCATTCTCTGTCCCCTCTTCTCCTACCTCGCCTTCTTTTTTTTTTTTTGAAAAATATTTCATCTGATCAATCCAGAATTTCTGCCTTTGGATGAGGGGAATGGGTAGAAATGCGTCTAACGAATGCTGCCTAAAGCTACTTGAGGGCCAATCACAGCCCAACTAGCAGGGGCAGATCCAGGATTGTTTGAACTGAAGGGTCCAGTTTTTAAAGAATGACAGACAAAGCCAACCCTTGCCCCCTTCGTGTGGGGTTTGGTGTTTTGGAGGGCAAACAGTGCCATTTGGTGCAGTTTAGAGCTATGATTCAGATCTTCAAAATTCTAATATCATAGAGAGGGGAATACTGGTGTGATTTTTTTTCCAGAAACCAAAGGGGGGGGGGGGGGGGGGGGGCGGGGCCCCCCCTAGACACCCCCCCTTAATTCNCCATGGCTCAACTCGTTGTGAATGCGATCTTAGCTACAAAAGATAGTTCCTAGGGCTCATTCCCAATGAAACTAATGTCCTACATAGATCAATCCAACTATGGAGGACTCTAGCTGAATGCAATCAGATAAACAGATTAACACACCTCCTCTTCTATCCAACATACTCCTATAATCACCAGCTTTTTTGTATTCTACTCAACACCAGGAGGTATGTTAATCTGTAGATCCAATTGCATTCAACAAGAATCCTGGATTGCTCTATGTAGAACATAGTTTCATTGGCAATGGGCCCTTAGGCACAAACAGAACTCGTTACCTGTCTCTCTTTTTCTGGTTTACGGAACCTGAGTGTGAAAAAGTTGACATGTTCAGACTTCTCCCTCTCCATACTTCTGGCAAAGATGGCCTGTTTCAAGTACCTGTTCACTCTGTTGTGACTGGACTCCGGTGAGTGTCTGGAAATATATACACATATATGCATGTACTGACTGTTGTTAAAGAAATGAAAATAGTAAATAACATGATATAAAATTGCTCACCGAGCAAGGATTTGTCAACCATTATACAAGAATCTACATGTAGTGTCTATGGGTGCCAGTAAAATGCTACACAAAATGAAGAATTTTTGTTACACTTTGTGAGACAATTGCCTTATGGGAGTCCATCCTTATAAATTAAAGCCTGAAAGCCTGTTTGTACATAAGTAATCTGTTTACACATACATGTACTGTACATATAGGCATTCATGTGTATACAAACACCTATACAGATATATATAATTAAATAATGCTACACAACATACATAAATAATTTTCAAACGTGGATAGTCTCAGTTGCAACTATATATATATATACTGTAAATGTAAAACTGACTGAGGACATTTCTTACAAATACACTAAATCAATTTGCACATTACACTTTCAAGGTATGAGTCATGCACAGTTGATCATGACTGAGCACCAACTGAAAACTATTAAAGATGCAATGATCATAATCCTTTTGTCAAGTCATCCTGTACACGTACATTTACTCAGATATATCAAGACAATATTTAGCCCCTATGCTTTTAATATCTGGCATGGCACCATCACTTTCCAGGTAAACACCCACCTGGTTTCAGATAAACCCCAGGTATAATAGCACAAGATTAAGGTAAAGCTGCCTCTAAATCATGAAAAATACCACATGCCTCAAAGATTAAACAGGTTATTTGAGACGATGTGTGTTTTTCCACTGAGGTCAAAATCCTTTTTCAAGGTATTCATATCTATAGCTGTTATACTGGGAAACGTCCCCGAGAGGGTAAACAAGGATCCTTAATCTAAGCTAAGCTATTTTCCGGTTGATTTTGTAAATCAGGAAGAAATGGAGTGCAAATTTGCCACCAGTTATCTTGCCAGTTAATACTTCTAAGACGTATGCGTGAGATTTGTGTTATAGGGGTTGGTTTCACCAAGGAATTATATCGTGTACAATATAATTCCCCAGCTTCACAAACAAACTTAAATTTTTTGTACAGAAAAGTAAAGTAATTATTGGTCTAAAACATATTAATTTTGCCATTTCTTTCCATTTCCTTCTTTTTATAAAACAGGTTCAAGGTTTCAACTCGGAAGACTAGATGAAAGTACCATATATTTATTTTGGTTGAAAGAAGACTAAAATGTCAGTATCAAAATTAGATCCGACTTTCAGTTGTTTTTAGTGAAAATTCTCAGTTCTCTGCCTCTCTCCCAGTTAACCATCTTTCAATAGAGCTTCTTCCTAGCAAATTTGGCAAAATTTTACAATTCCATTTGTTGTTTAATCAGCGTACAAAACATAATATTATATTTCATTTCTTATAATTTTCCATTTAAATCAATTCAAATCTTGTGACATGACAAGATAAATTTGTGAAAGGGAGTGAAAGAGATGGTGGCGGTGAGGGAAGAAGTGTGTGGGGGGTGGGGGGGGGGGGCAACACCAAGCAAGCCACTGTCTCTTACCTCTTGTTCATGATGGGCCTTCTTAACTTGTCAGCAATGCTGCCCTGGAATACGTAAACATACAATCAAATGAATAAGAATTTTTAACAGATATATTAAGTATGCTTTCAATATCATAAATAGCAACATGTATCAAAGGATGTCTTCAGGGGATTTGAACCAACCACCCTTTTTGCTGGGAAAAGCTCCATGCAGGGCAAAATTTAATCTAGGTACATGAAGGATTCATGGTAAAAAAACTGACTTTTCAGAAAAAGACTCCTTTTAATTTAAATGAAATTGCTGGCTACAGGCTTGTTACACATCTTGGTTTTACTATAATTTATTAATAGTTTGTACCAGTGCTAATGTATAGTATCAGAACTAAAAAAATTATCAAGACATCTATTTGTCTTTGCTATTTCCCAACACATACTGTATGTTAATTAAGCTGAACGAGAAGTGACAAAATCAAAATTACACAGGGATTTATAGCTGATGAAACTCAGATATGAATGACAAATTAAAATGGATGGGAAACTTAGATCAAAATGTTGAAATTGGAAATCCATTCAATATCCTGCCTGAGCCATGAGAGATAAAAATCAGCAAGAAATCTATAAATCTGCAGATGGTATGAGGTTCCCAGACATCACCAATATCAGAAATCTTCAACATGACAAGTGCATGTTGTATGGATGTCTGAATGAGTTATTAGATTATGCAACTTAAAAAGCAATTGTGACATTCAAAAACTAATTTTCTAAGTACTTAATTTGTCAGAAAATTGCAAAATAACGTGACTGTGGATTTGTGTAAAAGGTTGTGAATTCTCACTTAACAGGTAAGGACAGAAATGCCATTACATGGAACTAAATGAATGTGTCTTAGCACAAGAGAGAGAAATGAGAGGTAAATCACTGTAGTCTGATTGTTATCAGGACCACTGCAAAAAGTTTAAAAGTGAAGAAGCTATGCGTATACGTTTTGTAAAGACAAAGGTTGCCTTCAATTAAAGTATGGATCCCTCTGGAAAAATTGCAATATCCTCTCTGACCTATCCACCACCCTCCTTTGAGGTAAACTTACACCAGTTCTTTTCACATATATGAATAGTATGAATACTTCCCCTAGCCTTACTATCAGCCAGCCTATATCAATTGACTCAATTAATCTCTCCTCCCCCCCACCCCATATCCTTTTTTGCCATGTGTGGTCTTCTTTCTTTACAACAAAAAGTTTCATGTATGAAAATCTACCAATGACATGACCCATAACGATCTTAAGAACAAAAAAAAAAAAAAAGGGAGGGGGGGGGGGGACATGGAGTTATCTAGCTAGACCCCCCTCCAACCCCCCTCCCCCCCTCAAAGCAACCTGTGAGGTCCAGCTGTAAGGTCAAGCCCCATATACCAGCAGACCAATCTGTTCCTCCCCTGTGGAGCTAGTTAGGTGGCAATTACTGCAGGATGAAATGTCAAGCACCAGATAGATGTAGTCAGAACCAGCACAGATGTATTGTTTTACCTTGGCCAGGGTTTACGAAGGAAGAAGAGAAAGGTTGTCTGAGGCATTAAGTCTATTTCTGTCTATTTGGGAGAAATGGATGAAAAATCAGGACTGTTGTGCACTTTTATTTTTAATTATTATTATCGCATGTGTGTGTTTGTATGGCAATAACAATAAAATAATCTTAAATTAATTTGGTCCAAAACTTTGGAATGGAAAATGGGTATGTGCAACATAATACAGTGTAATACATTCAAAAATTTCCAAAAAGTTAGATGCAGTCCAGTGAGTCCCCACTATTTCAGCTGGAAATATGTGCAGGTTAATCATCTGTGATCAAATCAACCATTTTACTCAATTAAAGAAAGTGTCCATTTGAGAAAAGTCTGATGCCCAACACTGCTAGAAGATAATACACAGCCCCAATTCCACCTCTGGCGTTCTTTTTTAGATTTGCTGCTCTAAAAATACAGGCCCGTAGCCAGCAATTTCAAAAGGGGGGTTCTTTTTCTGAAGAAGTGGACCTTTTTCCATAAAAACTTCATGTACCTAGATCAAAGTTTACCCAGAGTGGACCTTTTCCCAGCAAAAGGGGCGGTTCTTTCGAACCCCCCGAACCCCCCCTGGCTACGGGCCTGAAATACATGATCTACTGGTATGTAAGACAGTACATAGGATATACATGAGTCAATAAAACAACCCATTTTTGAAAAAAAAATCTTCACTGAAAATTCCCTTTTATTATATTTTCAAAAGAAACTCAATGCACTGATCGTTAGACAAGAGAAAACTTCATTCCATTATCTCACAGCTCTTAATGTCAATAATTGCAAAATAAGTCGGCATAACCAAATTATTTCCAATTTCATAATCTTTTTCACAGTGATCCCTAATAAGCTCTTAGACCAAATTTCCTTTTTTTTATCTAATCTTATTTTTCATTATTAATCTTATCCACATCTACTGCCTAGTAAATAAATCTCCTGCATAATCTTAATTTTTGCAACAATGTTGAAATTGGCCAAAATAATGTTTAAATCGTGACATAACTAGCTTACAATTATATCCTTAGACAAAACCTACACCATTTAAATTAATGCTGATCACACATAATCACTTTTTCAGTATTATATTCTATTTAAGAAGTTATTAGCAACATTTACGAACTGCAGTTTCAACCTCAGACAACAAAACGAGGAATTACATCCCCAATTTTTACTTACCATACTAATCTTATGGTCATCATGTTGGGCAGACAGGACATTGGAGAACGGGATCTCCGCACGAAACTTGATGTAGCGCATGAGTCTCAACACGCAGTTGGAGACGCTCTTGAAGGACAGTTTTCGGGGCTTGATGTCACCAAGTTGTCCCTTCCTGTGGACTATACTGTGTTGCTGGAAAATAGTAAATTAAAATGTGTTAGTTAAAGATTAAAGTCAAGTGGAAAGATGAGCTACACTGTAAATAAGCAAAATATCATCTTCAAAGAAAAATGTTTACATGACTGTGTATAATCACGAAAATGTTTTATACACTTTGTGTACATACATGACAACTTATTCTTACACACCTAACAAATAAGTCCTTCTTTAATAAACTAAAGGTGTGATGAGACTATGACCAAAAATATTACTTGATGCACGATAACTTATGATCTCTAAATTAGCCTTCCTAATTTTCCACTATAATAATAATAATAATAATAATAATAATAATGATATTGATAATTATATTTATTCCTGAGATTTTGCACTGAATGTATCTAAATGCAACTTTACACAATTGCAAATTATTACAGAGTAGGTTTCCATTGAATGATACATAAATATCACCGTTCAGATCTGCGATTTCACACTTTATCAAAATATCAATAATAAATAAAATGTTCTCTTCAGTCAATATACATTTATTTCTTAACAAGTGCTTTAGAAGCAGCGGCAGTGGCAAGATCAGAAGTCACCAGAAACTCTTTGTTCTTAGTTCTATGTCACAGAGACAAGCTGCCAGTTGAGAGGTGAGTTTCTGGTGACCTCTAAGAATCAGGGTTTGGAAGGGTTATTACAGCTAGCACACTAATTACTGATATAAATCACATCTGTGGCAGGCCGCAATGTGTTAAGTATAGCACAAAAGCTGTTAAGAAGATCTGTGTTATGCTTATCTCACGCAAGATCTGATAAAACATGACAGAGCACAGCAATTAGTTTGTATCGCTGAACCATCTCATTGTCTTTAAATTGCGTCTTTCTTCTCGTGACCTTGGCTATACCCTGTTGCTGAAGATGCCAAACTGAAAATGACTGTTTTCAGCCTATACAGGTTTCATGTGAAAGCATCTTACATAATATATACCAGTGACTTGTTCTACATTTTATAGCAGTGGAAGGTGTGTGTGTGTGTGTGTGTGTGTGTGTGTGTGTGTATGAGAGAGAGAGAGAGAGAGAGAGAGAGAGAGAGAGAGAGTTCACACAAATTTGTGTGTGTAGGGAGAAGACATTGATAGCAGAAACTTTTCGGCTTTACTTCTTTTAACTTCATGATCAAACAATCTATAACATGCATTATACATTTAAATCATGCAATATACCCATATAGCCTAATGATGTGTTAGCTGAGACTCTTGTTTCTTGAAAAAACTGTCATGTGTGACAACTAGGGTTTGTTTTAGGGACCATTTCCACAGATATTCGGATCGATCTATCTCCCTGGGGAGTCTCACTAAATTGCTATCAACCTAACTGGCTTAAATGTCTGTCACACCTAGTAAAGCTGTTAGGGGGTAATAATCTTTACCCTAGCTGATTCGGTAGGTGTGACAGACATTTAGGCCGGTTAAGCTAATAGCAATTCAGTGACACTCTACTGGGAGTTAGACCGATCCAGATACATTGATCTAGGCATGGGAACCAAGTCTTAGATAAAGTCAACCTAAGGTTTTTTCAGCTTGCTTTAGACTGCAAAACTTTAGATTGTTAAAGATTGCATGAAGCTTACTGAATCTAGAAACATTTTACTAGTGAAATCCTAAGAATAAATGTAGTTGACAAACCTAATTGGATCCAATTGGGCTTTCACCAGTGAGAGTGAAAAACACTGTCATTCGACAAACACAATTTGAGCAAGTTAAGGGAAAAAACACAAAGAGAAAACCAGCTTTTTGTATTCTGTGCACAATGTAACTAAATTATCAGCTAAAATTCATAAAAGTCTTTGATGAGACCCATTTTTGCCTTAAGTTGTTTTCAAATTGTGAACCAGGTCAATCTTAAGACCCGATAAAACTTGAAGCTGCGCCATTTTGACTACCAGCCAATACACTGGAGGGGATCACATATATTTTATTTTATGATTGAAAGTGAAATTATCATCAATTTCCCCTTCATTCTTCCTTCCCTCGGGCTTGTAAAAAGGGAAATAGAAATCTTGGCAACATTGCAATTTTCCATGAAGTAGGAAATGAAAGGATTGCCGCAATCGCTGGGGTTTACTAAATTTGATATAGATGCTTGGAAAGTACTTCTTTTTATCATCAATCTAAGTTTAAATGTTTTTTTTTTCATGAATATCTAGGAACATGACAGCTATCCCTGCTCCACTGGTATAGAAATTTAACCTTCAATATCAAATGATAATATCTTTTTCGATAAGTCATCCCTGATTTTATAAAATTACAGTTATTCATTACAAAAAAAGTAGATTAATAGGTGACATCAGGTGTTTCCTTTTAAATCCTCTGACAGATAAGTATTTCAATAAATTTACGATAATGTGGTTTAAAAAAATATGCAAAAATTTCTGATCCATCAGTCAAAAGATTTAACTCAGCGCCAATATTTCCCTGGAAGTCTAAAATTGTATTAAGTGACTATGGAATTTCTGAATTACAAAGTTTAGGTGACTACAAGGGATAACAGGTGCTGTATATCTTGAAATAATCTTAATTTCATGTTTTCCAAACTGAATACTTCTCTCTTCTGTCTGCGGCCTTAGGTAACATTCTCTCAGATAAAACTGTTTTCCATATTTTATATCACAGCTCCTTTTATTTATTTTTCTATTTATATAATGTTAGCAAGTTTTTCCTCTGTAGCAATTATTCTCTATTATGTTTATGGTACATCCTCTCTCCTTAAGACACCACCTCCTGTGCACCTGTTCAATTAAATAGACAATTATATATCTTGGTTACCTCAAAATCACAGGGAACTTACATTTCAGTGAGGTATCCTGTGACATTTAAGCCGATTTAAAATAATCTCAAATCTAAAAATAGAAAAACTCCAGTACTTGGAAAAGCTGGTTATCCACAGCTGAAGCACAATTAACTGGAAATTTCATTAAATCTGGACTTCACCTGGTGCAGGAGTTTATTGAAGTGTCTACAGGAATTCGCCCTGATTCACAGCAATTCCAGAACTTAAAGACAGTCTCAGCACGTTAAACCCTTAAAATAGCACGAAAATGAATTTTCCTGGAAAACTTACTAATTTCCCCATAATGACCAAGGTATATCCTATCCAAAACCGTTCAGAAAATGAAGCTACCTTATACCGTTTTTAAGTTCCATTAAATAATAAAAGACGACTCGTCTTAAATACTCAGCTACCACCTCACAGTACGGCTTCAGAACGCGCAATTCCTCGCTAAGTCTCGCGGTTTACTATAAATGAAGTACTACGGCTGAGACCCGGATGTTACTATTTGGCGCCAAAACAGCAAACATGGCTCAGACGCGCGTCAAGTCTGAAGAGGAGAGCGACAAAAGGGGGCTAAAGAAAATAGCCACTCAAGTTCGAAAGATACGAAAGAAAATTAGAGACAGACGAAGAAGCACTCAGACTGTGTATGTTGGGAGGGAGGTGGGGCGGTGGAGGACACTTAAAGCTGAGTTAGGACTCACATACGAGGCAATGGCGAAACTACTCCGAAACGTGAGTATGCGCTTCACAGGTCTCAAGTGTGTCTGATTATCATATTATCCTGTTCACAATAAATGACAATATTTGTGCTCATACAAAGTTGGTTACGTGTATAAGAGCGTTTTGGGCTTTACGTTTTCTGTTTTTGATCGGTACATGTACCGAAAAGATGGACAGGCGGCACTTACATGTTTGACAAGTTTCGCTGTGTAGTCGTGACGTCTATCTAATTCTGACTGAAGCCTGCTGTGATTGGTCGTAAGCGTGGGAAAATCGAGGTCGTGACCTTCAGCCGGAAGTACTTCTGGCTGTGCTCCGAAATCATGATAAATAGTTTTCGTTTTCTAATTCTTTATTCTAGTTGTCTTAACAGGACTTTTGTGACCCAGACTTATTCATATAATAATAAACAATCTCCCAAAACACAAATCTGATCAAAGTTTTACATAGAACCTGCTTCTATACATTAATCTAACCCACTGAGTTGTCCTTTAATAGACCAAAGATAATTGGTTAATACAGATCCATTAGCCATTCACCTGGGCTGATAATGAAAAGAAAAGAAATCCAGCTTTTATGTGTTCATAACACTTGGAAACACTAGCTTGCATTAAGATAAATCAATACATTTTGTTAAAAACTGAAAAATGATCAACTCTCCACAAAACCGGCAATGATCTGATTTGAACATGTCCCAAATTTCAGAAATTGCTGGAAACTGAAGTCAATTATCAGCTTGTCTCAGTTGTTACTGGGATCAGGCCTGTAGCTTGGAGGGAAGGAGGGGAGCTTTTTGCCAGGAAACAGTAAAAAGTCCCCTTTGGGCAAATTTTTTTATCTATGTACATGAAGGTTTCACTATAACAGAACCACTTTTTCAGGAAAATATTCCACCCCCTTTGAAATCGCTGGAGTTTTCAATAATCTCTGAGCTCCAGGGTGTATTGAAGTAGACTTGACAGGAAAGTCTGGCTGTTTGTGTATTGAACAGAAACCCTACCTTCATCAGCCTGGCGCACCCTGGGTTTCAAAGGTTACTGGAAACTCACCTCGGATGTCACCAAACCTCTGGCATTTCCAGTAAAACAGAGGCATATGCTGATTGTAGAGAGGGGAGTTTTTAGAAACTTCTGAAATTTGCATCCCATACAGATAGACACATCTTACTAGTTGGGTCAGTCTACCTCTGTGTGTGTGTGTGGGGGGGGGGTCTCGTCAAATGCAATTGGTGGAATCAGCTAAACTGTCTGCCATGCCTCCTGAAGCAGCAAGGGGGTTATTAACTTTCAACAATTAAGGTGCTCAAGGAGGTGTCTTTCAGTTAAGATGATTGCACTAAATGAGAGCCCAGTCAGAGTTGGGCCGGACAAACTTGTATAAGTGTCTATCTGAATGCTCCCTTAGTGTAGCCCAAATGCATCGCGTACTGTGAATAGCGATATCCCATAGAGGCTACAATACATTATATTGGGCGA